CCTGACATCACCGCCCGTGCGCATCAGGTCGCACACGATCTGAATATCCCTACCCCAATCTTGCGAATCATGGAACGAGAGAATTGCAGCCACGCGTCTGTCCAAGTCGACTGCCTTGTATTTCGCTGGATCAAAATCTGCCTTGAAGGGCCAAATATCGGGACAGAGGGCAAGGATTTCATTCGAGAGAACTGGATGCGCGAAGCCGTACGCCAGCGCAGCCTCCTTTGAAGCGTCCTTTCCTGTTTGGTTTTGAAATTGCTTAGTCGACGGCGGTGGACAGACCGGTGAGACTAGGAGTACCCAGAATAAGGACAGCCTCGCGCGAGTAGGTTGGAGCAAGCGCGGCCATGGGCGAGTGCGACAGGATCATCTTTTCGATGGGTGGGAGTGGATGCTGTCAGACGCAGCGTCGCACCCGCTGACAAACCAACACCTGTTCGGCGGCAATGCGGGTTCCCAGCTTGTCGCTGAGCTCGCGCGCCTTTGCCTGCGATCATCGGCGCGTCAGCTGTTTTGAGCGCGGCGTTGGGCGGCCGACCTTCTCTGTGGCTCCACCGCCGTTCGTGAGGAGCACGAACGGAACCCGGCTCCGCTTCACGCGCTCGATGGCGCGCACGGCCTCCGCCAGCACCCGGCCGCCCTTCACGAGCACCCCGTCGACGTCGAACGCAACGCCGATTCGTGTTGTTTGCATTGGAAAAGAAAGGCTACACCGCCGCCCGCGCCTCCTTCTGCATCAGACACTCCGCCGCGGCCCTCGTCCGGTCTCCCGCAATCTTGTGCTGCGCGGACGCGAAGAACTCGCTCAGGTCGAGCCCTTGGTCGCGCTCGTACTCGTACGCCTGTGGCTCCCCCCTTTCCAGTCAATGAACCACTGCGCATTGGAAGAAACACCGCCTCCGTACCTGTATGAGCATTTCCAGCTTGTCGAGGTCCTTCACGAATCGGGCAACCTCCGACTCCCCCTCCTCATACTCTTCCCACAGCTCCACAATCTGCTTCGCGGCACCACTGTTTCCACCATCTAGATGCGCGACCATGGTGTGCAAACCCTCGCTTTCCAACCGGTACTTTTCCTCCTGTTGCCCCGTGTTGGTGAGGCTGTCAGCTTCCAAAATCCGGACAAGCTCACAATAACAAACCTTGGAGACGGGGTCGTGCGGTGTAATGTCGCCTGCAATCGCCTCTGCCAAATCATGCACAATCGCCATGCGCATTGCGCGGTCTCTCTCGCCCGCACTCAGGGTGTCCATAGCGAGTGCCATCACCCCCATTCGGTGCATGTGATCGCCGATGGACTCGGGAAGATTCACACCGTTGCGTACCCATCCAGTCCTCTTCGTCGTCTTGAGTCGGCCGCAGAGAAGAAGGAATTCAATCAGACCTAGCGCACCGCCGCTGAGATTGCTTTCTGACATTCTTTTACTGCTGCGCTTTCTCACTATCAGCACCTCCCAGCAGCACAATGCAAGATGGGAGAAAGAGAAAGGAAAGCATTGACTTTCGTCTACACTCAGCAAAAGCGTCGCCTGCAGGATTTGAACCTGCGCACTCAGAGAGTACTGCATTTCGAGTGCAGCTCCTTAACCACTCGGACAAAGCGACTTACGAAT